AGAAATCGCACAGCCTACGACATCTAACTTAGTTCCATCGTTAATAACAACCACACATACGATAACTCCATCGCAAACTAACTCTAGTCTGTTAATACCAACGCTTGGCTTAATATCAAAGATCCCAGGGGTTCATTCATAAAGTAGATTCCACAAAAAGAAATAAATCCTCTTCCGGGACGACCATTCACCATACCCAATTCAGACCAAAAGCTGTTTCCTTAGATAAAGTTTTTATGAACACTGTGAGTCTGTTGGATGCCTCTCAGAAAAGAACATCCACTAGTTATGGCATAGTCAAGTTTTGTACCTTTATAATATCAGGTTTTGAAAAACGAGCTCTACTACCGGACCGGAGTGAAATTTTGTCACGTGCTGTGTGCCCCCTATAGATTTGTTGTCCGTGTTCTTCGTTCTTTCTGCACGCGTCTTCTAGGACATCTTCTAGAAAACACCAAATGAATCGAAAATCATTTTGCGTATTCGAAATTATCTCGAAAACCTCTTTTCGTTTTCAAGAATACCCGGGTATTCTTGAAAACTCTAAGGTCTTGGAGTTTTCTATGATGGGAATTTCCTCATCTGAGCGAAAAAGAAAACTTCCGCATATCCAGGGCGGTATTCTCTAACACCAAACAGAGTATTTTGTAAAACCTTTTTTTCTAAATTTCTTGTAATTCCGAAAGCATATGGAGATATACTGTTTTCGATTTTATAAGGTATGTTTTAGGATGCGAATTATTTCCTGGAAAATCCTTGAAACCTTTTCGAGTTTTCGAAAGTACCCTTTTCCTGTGTAGTAAAATGGTTTCGAAAACCCTGTGATTTTAGAGGGTTCGTACTTTTTTTCATTTCCGAATAACTTGTTCTCCTTTTCTGATTCAAATGTAGAATGCTGGTAAGAGGAATAGTCAGAAATCGAGTTGACCTTTTCCAGTACACTCCTTACTCCGCTGTTTAATACTGCTCCAACTTACTAATTGTAATTCCTAGCTATATTGCGTTTTATTTTATTCGGCTTTCTCTGCGAGAAATATAATGTAATTTGCTCAAACCTAGCAACTGAGTCTTTGCTATGAAATATGTTTGAGCGTGCCTATATCACGAAAAAAGCCAAGTTCGTGCACTCTTAGAGACTGAAACCGCTCTCAACCTCTACGAAAGAAAAGAAAGATTCTGTCTCCCATAAAGGTAACAGACACAGTACCAGTAACACTTACTTTTCAGACACGTACTAGAAAACCTCGAACGCGCCTGTCTGCTAGTTTCCTCATACCTTTATCCAGATCTTTTTTCGCGGCCATTGTACTATCATTTTTCCTTTCTAATAGAAACCGGTTCATTCAGAAACTAACGATTTTCAAATTGTATGTGCGATAATTTCACTATGCCGCTTTTAACACCAAAATTTGATTGTCATCTAGTAGTACCACGATTACTGTACATTGTTTCATTTGGGGATAACCAGCATGAATTAAATGCAATTAGAAAAATTTCTCAAAGAAAATTATTTTGAAATGAGTAAAAGATGTCAGTCTTCTTGTCCGTTCGGGCCGTAAAACGTTATATGAAGAAGACAGCACCATACTACCCAACGAAAACTCTATCTGATGCAGCTTTTGACGCTTTATCACGTAGAATAAGTGTCTACATAACTTTGCTTTATGCGCTAATCCGCTGAAAAAAAAGTTAAAATTCTTTGAAGTAATATTTTCTTGCTCGGAATTTTCGGGCTCTGTAGAATAAGATAGACTCCAACTGCGCGGAGAAAGTCGTGGCTAAAATGGTCGGTTTCCGATGGAATTCCCCTACTGTATTAATATTTCTATTTTCTTAACATTATGCTCTATTAGGTAAATATACGGAATCTCTTCAATTTCTTTGTTGGTGCTTGATAAGACTCAGCAGATTTTCTGAAATACTACGGCTATACCATTCCTAGATAAAGTGATCACCATATTTGTAGACGGACCCTTTCCCTGTTTTCATTAAAATAATAATCATCTTTTTGGACTTCAGAAAGAAGTTTTGCTGTGTGAGTGTCAAAAAGTTTTAGAAAATACTCTCCACTCATTACAATTTACATTTGTTATATTCTCAAAAAAGTAATGATGCGTCATGAGAAAAATAGCGGATAACCAATACGTTTTTTAGAAACCGACGTTGAAAAGATTTTCGAGAACAGATTTTCAAACGGAATAAGAAAAAACTTGATCAAAATAAAAAAAATCTTCGAACAGGAAAAACGGTTTCGAAGTCTCGAAAATCCTATCAAAAGCTACTGTCGTTAATCCAAAAGGATACCATATAGTATCTCTTTTAGTAAACCATTTTTAAGTGTAGCGGAATACCCATTCTTTTTAGAGTGTTTCTAGAAATCTGAAGAACTTGGAGAACGTGAGAACATTGCACAATGTTCAGCAGAGCTTCCTTTACATATGACAACTTTGGAGAGCTCTGAGCGTGTCTGTGTTTCGAATCTATACCGGATACAAAGTAGAAAAGAAACATGTTGGAATCATACTCCGATAGCAGAGTTATATGGCAAAGCCGTATCCCTACTCTATCACTGGTTGATAATCAGCTACGTCTGAATAGCTGAATCAGCTTTCCAGTTTTTTCAGCTCTGAATCAGAGTCTGAATCAGTGCGGATCCATCAATCAAATAAAATACGACAAGCAGAAAATCCGTTCACAACCTAACACAGCGTCGAATGGTACTTCGAAAAGTCATCGACGATTTAGTGCAGCGCAGCCAACACAAATTGATTCACCTTCGCCTCAGAGTATTGGTTTTCCGTGTTTCCTAACTAAGTTTTAGCATGTGATGATCTATTGTTTTGCAGATTCAAGTGAACAAGTTGTATTTTGGTTTATTTTACAGTATCGTCGAACCAATTATTCCACGTTATAAATGAAACTTGTTTTGTTTTCTATTTTCATAACAGCTTGTAGAGTATTTCGAACTATTTGTGGATTTGCTTATACAATAAAAAGCCACTAAAAACCACACTTTGACTTCTTGGAGTCAAGAAAAGTTTGGTGTTTACACGTGCTTTTTTCTTCGAATAGGTAGCTGATTCAGACCTGGAAAATCTGGCCTGAATCAACTCTGAAAATCTGAAATTGACACTTTCAGAAACTTCAGTTCTGATTCCGTCACCAGAATCAGACCTGAATGAGCTGATCAGCATTTTCAGCTCTAAATCCGAACGTGCATTTTAATGAGATCTGAATCAGAGCTGGAAAAACTGGAAAGCTGATTCAGCTACTCAGACCTACATTGTAACTTGGAATTAATTTCTGATTTATAGAAAACCGATCCCGAAAATCGGCGGCGATTTTCTGGCTTTCTATAAAATTCTGATTTTCTATTTTCTATAAATTGAATTTTCATTTTATTCAGAAAAACCCCATAGAATTTCCAAAAATATAAAAATTCGGTGTCGATTTTATAAATACTGGAAATTCGAGTTTGATTTTCTAATATTCCGAAAAATCGATCGATTTTCTATAAATAAATTCCAACTGGAAATTCGAATTTCACACATATTGATATTATTTGTGGTACTACATTATAGAGGATCTAACCTTGAATTCTATTGGTTCACTAGGTGCACAAATGAATAAATTATGCTTGTTGCCGTCTCTATCACCGTTTTTGTTTTGCAATGCCATAGATATATATATATATCAGTCCATATATATACCAGTATATATACCAGTATATATATAATCTACACTGTAAAAGAGTTGAAGAAAATCTTCAAGTTCCTTACGGACATAACGTTCGACTGAACAGCTTCCGTATTGTCTGAACGGTACCGTAAGAGCTGTGAATTTTGGCTTACTGTTGGTTGGTACAGTACAGTACCACAGACTGCCCTACAGAATACAAAAGATACAAATAAAAATAAAAGAAAATAATACTTAACCAACCCAAAAATTATTCAAGATTTATACAAATATCGAAAATCGCTGAGCAAAATCAAAAAATCGCAAAATCATCAGCAAAATCGCGGTCGAATTTCCAAGTTTCTCGTAAATTCGATTTTCTAGAAGCTAGAAAATCCTCAAGGAATTTATATAAGGACTTTTTGAGAATCGCCGAGCATTTTCTATAAATAATTCCCAACATTACAGTGTAGCTGATTATCGACTAGTGGTAGTATCAAACCCACAATATTATTGGATATGCTATTTTTGACTGTGTTAGTGATGAAATTATTGATCTGAACTATTTATGACCACTCTGCAACAGTTTATTCCACAGAACAGAAAACTCTTAAAAATATTTTCAGAAACAACAACAATCGTCTAAAAGTATTTTGACAGTCTGATGTGTTATATTTGACTGACCGCTCCTAGATAAAATCGATGGATCTCCTTTATGAATGACTTCTAATCAACAACACAAGTTCCGTAATGACATCATCACAAAATGTATCCGGAGTTACAACAACTCGTGAAACAAGCCCAGCAAGTTCAAGCTCTATAGGCTCAAGTCGGATAGTTTCCAGTTCCATAAGTTCAAGCTTTACAAGTTCTGGCTCAACAGGTTCAAGCCCAATAAATTCAAGCTTAACAAGTTCAAGCTCTATAGGCTCCAGTCCGATAGTTTCCAGTTCCATAAGTCCTAGCTCAACAGGTTCTAGCTCAACAGGTTCAAGCCCAATAAACTCAAGCTTAACAAGTTCAAGCTCTATAGGCTCCAGTCCGATAGTTTCCAGTTCCATAAGTCCTAGCTCAACAAGTTCAAGCCCGACAAACTCAAGCTTAACAAGTTCAAGCTCTATAGGCTCCAGTCCGATAGTTTCCAGTTCCATAAGTTCAAGCTTAACAAGTTCTGGCTCAACAGGTTCAAGCCCAACAGGTTCAAGCCCGATAAACTCAAGCTTAACAAGTTCAAGCTCTATAGGCTCCAGTCCGATAGTTTCCAGCTCGATAGGTTCAAGCTTAACAAGTTCTGGCTCAACAGGTTCAAGTTCAGTAGTGTCTAGCTCCATAAGTTCAAGTTTAGCAAGTTCTAGTCCTATAGGTTCAAGCCCAATGTTAACAGCTTCCACCGGTTCAACAGTAGGGCCTCAAACACAGGGTAGCACAGCTGAAATTTCAAGCACTCAAGGTAAGTGAGAGGGGAACAAAACAAAGCCATAATCTACTATAGACCTCAACAAGATGTAGTTTTGAGCTCTTTCAGCATTCTCGTAATTTAATATATTAAAGTAGCAACCATATAGCTTTTTTTGATTGTTGGATAGGAAGTTCTTTTTTGGCGTATTATGGGCTATTGCTCCTTTCAGCGAACCAGTCGAGTTAATCGAGGTAAAATGAATGATGAATGGTAAAGTTTTATCGAAAGTTTCAGCGATAAAGAACGTATCTCAAGGAATAGTCCGTTATCACGATAATACACCAAAAATAAAGTTGTTTTATCATAAACTGCGATAAATGTTGATATTTTTTGTATCGAAAAGAGGACGATGGCAGGATAATCGTATATTTATCGCAATTTTTGGTCACGACAAACCTGCATAGACACACAGTGGGCATTTTTTGCTTGAGCAGGCGGACTTTAGCTTTATGAGCGAAATAAAATTTCATGAACCATTTTTTTATAGGTTTTTCATGATCCTCTTTCGAATGGCATGAGAGTTAGCTTTTGAAA